ACTGAAAAAAAAACTGCTAATCAAGAACACTACATTCAGTAAGGCTATTCTTCAAAAATAAAGCAGAAATAAAGTCTTTCCCTAACAAGTAAAAACTTACGGAATTTATCACCACTAGACCAGCCCTGCAATAAATGCTTAAGGGAATCCTATATCTGAAAGTGAAAGAACTGTATCTACCATTATAAAAACACATGAAAGTACAAAACTCACTGGTAGAACAGACACAAATGAGAAAGAGAAAGAGAAAGAATTCAAATGTCATCACTACAGAAAACTGTCAAACCTCAATAATAAATATTAAGAGAGATTATATTTGTAGGAACGTGGATGAATCTGGAGAACATCATTCTCAGCAAACTGACACAAGAACAGAAAGTGAAATAGCGCATATTCTCACTCATAGGTGGGTGATGAAAAATGAGAACACATGGACACAGGGAAGGGCGTACCAAACACTGGAGTCTATTGGGGGAAGAGGGGAGGGACAGTGGGGGAGGGAGCTGGGGAGGGATAGCCTGGGGAGAAATGCCAAAAGTGGGTGAAGGAAAGGAAGGCAGCAAAACACACTGCCATGTGTGTACCTATGCAAATGTCTTGCATGTTCTGCACATGTACCCCGAAACCTAAAATGCAATTAAAAAATTTAATAAATAAATAATATTAAGAGAGAAATAAAGGAAGAAACAAAACAACTAGGAAAACAGTTTTTATCTATCAGTAATAAGTTTTTAACTTATTAAATTTAACACATTAAATTTCCACTTAAAAGATGTAGACTGGCTGATAAGATTTTTTTAAATGACCCAACTATGTGCTGCCTACAAGAAATTCATGTCACCTATAAAATAGATACAGACTGAACTTGGAAAAATGGAAAAAGATATTTCATGCAAATGACACCAAAGATGAGCAGGAGTAACTATACTTCTGTCAGATTAAACGGATTTTAAGTCATAAATATTATAGTAAAAAGAGACAGAGAAGGTCATTAAATGATGACAAAGGGATCAATTATTCTTTGTGATCATAAGTTCTTGTCATTTAGCTCCCATTTCATAAGGGAAAACATGCAGTATTTGGTTTTCCATTCCGGCATTTGTTTGCGATCTGGCATTGATGGGCTTTTAGGTTGCTTCCATGTCTTTGCTACTGTGAATCCTGCTACAATGAACATTCGTGTGCATCATGTCTGTATGGTAGAATGACATATTTCTCTGGGTATATTCCTCAGTGTAATGGGACTGCTAGATCAAATGGTAGTTCTGCTTTTAGCTCTTTGAGGAATTGCCATACTGCTTTCCACAATAGTGGAACTAATTTACTCCCATCAACAGTTTATAAGTGTTCCCTTTTCTCTGCAACCTCACCGGCATCTGCTATTTTTCAACTTACTGATAGCCATTCTGACTGGTGTGAGATGATATCTTATTGTGGTTTTGATTTGTATTTCTCTAATGATCAGTGATATTGAGCCTTCTTTTATATGCTTGTTGGCCACATGTATGTCTTCTTTTAAGAAGTGTCTGTTCATGTCCTTTGCCCACTTTTTAATGGGGTTGTTTCTCTCTTTTGTAAATTTGTTTAAGTTCCTTATAGATCCTGGATATCAATGGCATCAGATGCATTTTTCTCCCACTCTGTAGGTTGTTTGTTTACTGTATTGATAGTTTCTTTTGCTGTGCAGAAGCTCTTTAATCAGATCCCATTTGTCAATTTTAGTTTTTGTTGTAGTTGCTTCTGGTGTTTTTGTCATGAAATCTTTGCCAGTTTCTATATCCAGAATTGTATTGCTTAGGTTGTATTCCAGGGTACTTATAATTTTAGATGTTTACATTTAAGTCACTAAATAGATAATTCAACTCCTCATTCTTTAGTTAATTTTTGTATATGGTATAAAGAAGGATCCAGCTTCAATCTTGTGCATATGGAGGACCAGTTATCCTGGCATCATTTATTGAATACGGTGTCTTTTCCCCACTGCTTGCTTTTGTCAGATTTGTCAAAAATCAGGTGGCCATAGATGTATGGCCTTATTTCTGGGCTCTCTATTCTGTTTTATTGGTCAATGTGCCTGTTTTTGTACCAGTACAATGCTGTTCTAGTGGCTATAGTATAGTCTGAAGCTGGGAAACGTGTTGCCTCCAGCTTTGTTATTTTTCCTTAGGATTGCTTTGGCTATTCAGGCTCTCTTTTGTTCCATATGAACTTTAAAATAGTTTTTTTCTAGTTCTGTAAAGAATGCCATTGGTGGTTTGATTGGAATAGCATTGAATCTGTGAATTGCTTTGGGCAGTACAGTGATTTTAATGATATTCATTCTTCCTATCCATGTGCATGGGATGTCTGTCCATTTGTTTGTCTCCTCTGATTTCTTCAGGCAGTGTTTTGTAATTCTCACTGTAGAGACCTTTTACCACCCTGAGTAGCTGTATTCCTTGATATTTTATTTTTTGTATGGCATTTGTAAATGGGATTGCCTTTCTGATTTGGATCTCAGTTTGGCTGTTGTTGTTATATAGGAATACTAGTGATTTTTGTACACTAATTTTGTATCTTGCAACTTTATTGATGTTGTTTATCAGCTAGAGAAGCTTTCGGCCTAGACCATGGGGTTTTCTATATATAGAATCATGTCATTTGCAAACAGAGATAGTTTGATTGGGTGACCTTTATTTCTTTCTCTTGCCTAATTCCTCTGGCTAGGACTTCTAATACTATGTTGAATACAAGTGGTGAGAGAAGGCATCCTTGCCTGTGTCAGTTTTGTAGGGGAATGCTTCCATCTTTTGCCCATTTTGGAGGTCAAAAGTTAAGAGAAACTTTTAGAATTATTTTCCATAAAGAAGACTCATAGAAATCTAGTTTGAGAAAAAGTTAGATGATGTATGTAACAGTCCTTCGCAAGTCTGATAGCCTTAAGATAAACATCCTTAAATAGCAAAACAGTGGCATGGAGAAATGGAAAAGACAATAAAGAAAAGAAAAGAAATTGAGATTATGTCTAAGAAAATCCTTTGAGTGTGATCACTAGCACATTGAACTGACCTGACACAGATAGATCAAAAACCTATTAGGTCTTTGAGGGGAGTTATTGCCAAAGAAACAGAACTTGGCTTTTAAAGCAAGTTTTCGATTTAGAATTTTAAAATATACTGATCCTACACAAATTGCAACTAGGTAGGAGAAACAGGTTCTCACATTTTACAGCACTAAAGGATGATAACAGTCAACAATATTATATTGTATATTTTCAAATAGCTGGAAGAAAGAATATTGAATTTACCTAACACAAAGAAATGATAAATGTTTGAGATGATGGACATGCTAATTACCCTGATCTGCTCACTACACATTGTATGTAACTTTATAAATACGTATAATTATTATATATCAATTTAAGGATACATAATTTAAAAATTTCATATTACCAAAACTAATATTTTATAAGTAGAAAATAGGTTCAAACACTGTGTTACTCCAAAAGAAGTCACATTTTTCAATGCCTACTTCATTTAGGATAATGGGAACATTAATCAAGGCACACATCCCCAAGGGCAGATGGCATTAAAAAACCAATAGTCAGGACATTGAAAACAATGATCAGGAGAGTTCCTCCCACAGAACATAAACAATGTCTAGTCAAGGAGCTTGTCTCACTCTCGGTCAGTAAAAATATTGCAATATCTGCTCCCAAAGTATTCTCGCATGACTATTAAGTTACTGCTAACTGAATTTCACACTTCACTTCCAGTTGGAAATCATCTGCTCCACCATTAATAGAGAGATGGATTATCACTGGTGAAAAAGAAGTCACAATGGGATCTGATGGAGAAGGCCACCACACATCTGGAGGTCTTGGATTTTTTGCTGCATGGAGTAACCAGAAGAGAGCTCGAGTGATTTTCCTTGGTAAGGAAGTAAGCACAGTGTATGCATAGGAGAAAGAGAAATGAAAAATTATGATCAAGGATCTTTTGCAAGCAGCTAGATCTATGTGAGGAGTCTGGCCGATGAAATGATAGAGAAAATGGAGTGCTTTACCTCTGAGAAGAACTGAAGCTAGAGCTGTAAAATGGACAGTCTTGATGGGGTTGAGAACCTTTTGGGAAGCCAGGTGGCCCTCTCTTTGCTCCCCAAAATGTTCTCAACTCCAAAGGCCGGTGATCATGGGCACTGATTAAGGGCTGCAGACTCTTCAGATCCAGTTAAATCCCTGGTGTTTGAGCTGTGTGGGGCCTGTGGTTGCTTGCTTGCAGGCTCTGGCTGAGGTCCTGCCGCAAATCATGCAGCAGCTGGTTTAGGAGTGTAAGGTGGCTGTCTCTGCGAGGCAGAGGCAGGGGTGGGAGTTTTCTAAACACACTTGTCATTTCTCTTTCAAACCCCTGAGATTGAGAACTGGCATTCACTCCAGTATTGTTTTTCCTACAAATAGCCACAAGAGGGCACTGTTGACTTGCCAGCTCTAAAGAGTTTGCTTAACTTCAGAGGTTGCTGTTCAGGTTCTGCAACTGCAGTCTTGATGCCCTAAACTTGGTCTCTGACGTCTCAGAACTCTCACTGCCTAGAATATATACCAAAGCATAATAAAGTATCTGGATGGCTAGGTACTAAAAAGCTTTCAGTGATACATGGAAAACGTAGTATTGTTGCCTCAACAATACTTAGATCTTTGTTTTGAGCCTTGGCTACCAATGTAGCCAAAGTCTCTTCTTCCTCCAACTTAATTCCAGAGGACTTGTTCTTTCCACTAGGTCTTGATTTCAGTCAGCTAAGGTAATGACTAGCAATGCTCAATGATATCAGATCTTCCTTCTCAAGAATGTGTCCAACCTGCAGACCAGGGAGAGAGGGGAGTGACCTTTGGAAAGCCACTCCCACTCTTCTGTTCTGAATGCACCCTCTTCCAATGTGGCTGGAACATATTCAGGTTGTATCAGCAAAGCAAACCTTCATAGATTTTCTCAGTTTTAAAAAACTGACAAAACATCAGTACCCCATCCATTTAAAATGCCTTTAATTTATACTACTTCATTATATGCATTCAAGACAGTGCTCGAAAACTTCTACAGAGAAGACACTTTTTACATTTTGCTGTGGGGACTTCACAGCAGAGTTGGGTCTGCTCTTCAAGGCCTGATTTTTTGGTTATCTTGCTCCTTTATCATCTGTTTGAGGATTTACTCCAAAACCTATCTAGACCCTTGAGGCCAGTTACTTTACTACTTGCATAAGCTTGACAATTTTGTGAGAAATCTGTGGTCCTCTAAACCTCTGTACTTAGAACCAGAGCAGAGAGCCAACTTTAAGTATGTGGCTTATCATTTCTTATATTTAGGACTCTACTACTGGGGAACTAGAGATTAAAGGTAGACATGAGTTTTCAACTCTTCGCTTAGCCAGTTCAATGTCATAAGTAAGGAAATGTTTACTGAGCCCCTCACTGTGTGTGAGCTGTGCTAGTTACCGTGAGGGGTGACCACTGCTGTCTCACTGCTGTCTTGGTCCCTGTATCCTTTACAGATCCCCACAACAAAGCTGGCAGTTTCTGTCCTTATGTACACACAGTTTGAGTCAAGCACCTCATAACTGTGTTAGGCATTTGCATCGATCTACAGAAGCCTGGTCAGGAATTAAGATCTGAGTTTTAGCCAAATAACATAGACTCCTCTTTGAGTTAATTCTGGGCTTGCCACCAGGTGAAATCCTGACAGAAGCAGAGAAAGAGCTCCTGGAAAGACCAGTGGAGTTGACCAAATGCTTGAAAATATCACCTGATTCCAGATTATGTTTCTATGAATTATGTCCTATTAGATTCCTTGTTAAAAAATCACTTTTATAATAATGTATGGAAGTCTCTCATGAAAATTGTATATTATCACTTATAGACATTGGTATATTGCAAGTGCTCAAGACACATGAACTTTGATTTTCATTATAAGTCTTATATTAGAAGATCAGTGCTGAAGTGGGCATTTATAACCTCTGAGGAACAATAGGAAAGCAGTGGTAGGTAAAACTCCTAGCATCTCTGAGATGGAGAGAAGTTCTATTAGAGATTTCTCTTCTTAAAAAAATTACAAATACTGAATTGCACCTGTGGCTCTGGCTTGAGATAATGAGAGCCGAGCCTGAGGGTGCTAGAGCCTCTTCCTGTAAGCCAGTGGGTATCATTTTTTTTTCCTGCTCTTGTTGAGTGACTGGAAGAAACTCTGCCCCTACTGCCCACACCAGCATTGGGTTGCAGTTACTTTATCTAATCCCCACAATGGGGCATTTGATCTTACTCCAGCTTCATGACAATTCCTTCATGGCTCTGAATGCTGCCCCTAAACACGATGTCATGTTTCTCCACCCACCTGCATTAGGGGACTTGATTCTGACTCTAGTTCCTGGTGGCAACACTGCACTGCAGGGTGACGTTATAGCTGCTCCTCAGTAATCACAAGCTTTCAGACCCACAGAAGATTGGAGCTGCGTCAGTTACTAACACTTATCTCTCAGACCCAAGCCTGCCATCCATGCTGTACTCTGTGATGCTGGTGCTGGAAGTCGAACCCCTTCTTTGTCAGCTGTCACTCTCTGAGTTTCTACCTACAGAGAGCAGCAGGAACATTAGAAGGTTGAAACAGGGAGATGGGCACATGCTCTCTCTTTCTGTTCCTGCCTTGTCAGTCAGTATTCCTTAGCAGCAACTCTTCACCATGGAAGTGGAATTGATTCTAGTCTCCAGATTGGTTAGTTGGTTGATCGGTTTTGGTTTTTGTTTAGCTCTCAAAATCACCCTCATTGAACTCTCTCAAAAATACCAGCACCATCAGGGAAGTGTCTCATCCTCAAAGGTTTTAGTCCCAGCTCTAAGGGCCACAACCTTTGAGGTCCTGTGGCATGATACCAATTAGAGACAGCATCCTTCTTCGGAGATCTGAGATATGGGCTACTTCCTAGCCTCTTAGGTTCTAATGACCCAGCCTCTTTCTAAGTGGAAGTTTCTTCCCCTTGATGCAATTTCCATTACTTGAGCCTCCTTTTTTCAACAAAACCAATTGTTTACATTAAATTATCTGTAAATAACCAGTGTATGTTTTTGTTTTGTTTTGTTTTACCTAACTGGAACATTGTTATCCAGAAACCTGACACTATGTCATATCTTCCCACATTCAACTAGAGCACTTGGGCAGTTAACAGATCAAATAAGACTTTGTATTCATTCAGTTCACTGAATGTGTAGCTTACACATATAGGGAAAGTGGTCAACACAATAGCCTAGCCAGCTTTTCTGTTTCTTACCCTCTCAGAGTCCCCTCTTCCTGTCTGCAAGAATCCTCACTTTCAAGACTGTCTCAGGTGATGAGGGTGTGTAGGATAGAATAGAAAGCTGGCATTGCTTTATATTGCTGTAAAGCTCTTTTCTTGTTTCCCAGCAGAAGATTGGTCAGGCAAGACTCTGCCTTCTCTGAGAAGTCCCTTGGGTCTCCAAGAATTAAGAATAGGCAGAAAATACCTGTGGACATCCAGAAAGGCAAAACACAGGTCGAAGGAGAGCAAAGGCTGCTCTTCAGCTTCAATTGCAATTGATGAGGCATTTCAACTATGTAGAAAGAGCCTAAGTTTTATTATTTTTGCTTCCCACATATGTGATCTTCGGCCATTTTCTTCCTAAAAGCATCTCTTTTTCTATTATGTGAAATGAAGGTAACAGTGCCTGCAGAGCTGTATTGAAGCTTAAATTACTTAAATGTAACTGCGTGGTTCAAAGCAGTCACAATAAATACGAGCTTCTTCCCCTTGCCTACTTCCACCTGAACCACACAAGGAAAGTGAAGGAAGGGATTCACCATCCCTTACTGGTTCAGTAATGAAGGGAGCCTCAGTGTGTGCAATAAATACTCCCCTAACTGGCATTTCTCTACTTCACCGTCTAGGTAAAATCACTGGAGAGGAAGGACGGCAGGTATTAGAAATGTTTTACATATTCACCTCCTTCTCTGCAGTAATTTCTGAATTCCCTGTTTTATCTCTTTGGTCCGAACCCCATACACAATAGGGTTCAATGCAGGAGGAATAAGGTGATGAAGGACATTGAGCAGGATCAGGATGTCCATGGGGACCTTCTTTCTGGCCACATTTGTCAACACAACAACCAGCAGGATGGTGCTGAAGAAAAGAATGAGGATAAAGTGGGAGCCACATGTGCTCAGGGCCTTCACTGCTGTCCCCTCTGCTTTAAATCTAAGCACAGCTCTTAGAATGAAGGTGTAGGAGAGAAAGATGAGGATGAAATCCGAGCCCAGCAAGGTCCAACCAGCCACAAATTGGTAGATTCTGTTAAGGGTGAAATTATCACAGGAGAGCCTGGACACAGACAGGTTAGCACAGATGCAGTTCTCAATGACATTTTTCCCACAATAATGGAGCAGGGAAGTAAGGATAGGAATGGGTGCAGTAAAAAGGGCATTCCGCACCACAATGAAGACACTAGCTTTGGCCACAAATTGATTAGTGATGATGGATGGGTACCGCAGTGGGTGGCAGATGGCCACATAACGGTCATAGGCCATGACCATGAACGTGCAGGACTCCATGGGGAGGAAACTGTTCATGATGAACATCTGCAGGAAGCAGGCAGGGAAGCTGATTGAACTGAGGCCAAACCAGAAGATGGCCAGGACCTTGGGGATGACAGTGAGGCAGAGCACGATGTCCAGCAGGGAGAGGAGGCTGAGCAGGTAGTACAGGGGCTGGTGCAGAGAGGCTTCCAGCCGGATGGTGATCAGGAGGGTGGCATTGGCTCCCATGGCCAGGAGGAAGAGGAGGCTGAGGGGCAGGGACAGCCAGTGCTGCCAATTCTGGAAGTTGGGGAAGCAGATGAGGAGGAATTCAGAGACAGGGGCAGTGGAGTCATTGCTGGGTGATGCCATGAGCTGTATCTTGAGCTGAGTAGGCTTTTTATAACTATTTGTATGACAGATACAAGAGGTTTTTTTCTTAATGCTTTAAAAAGTATCCCTTTCACATACTCTTTAGGAATTAAATGATAGGTAGTTCACTTTTACTAAGTATGGCAAATTTCAGGCAATATTCTATAAGTAGAATAGTGAGACTTGACAAATAATGTTGTGTTCCATAAAGAAAAATGAATGAATGAAAAACCTAAGAAGTTTTGAAAAAAAGGTAGTGATAGGCAGTAACCTCACTATACATTAAAACATATTATAAACATGCAACAAATTAGGCCAGTATGTTACCAGTGTAAGAAAAGCAATGGTAGAAGAGAAGTTTCTTTAATAAATCATTTGGGAAAAAATAACTTTAATTAGGTCTTTTCTTTCTACTATACACCAATATAATTTGTAGTGGATATTTTTGTTACATCTTTTACCCAAACTCATAGTATATTAGAAGAAAATATAATGTAAATGTGATTAAATCATCCCTTTGCTAAAACTTCAATCTATATGAATATAACTATTCATTTCCCACAACCTGAGCCTCAGCATACTAGATCCTAGTGCTCCTCGTATAAAATTTAAAAAGAAAGAAAGAAAGAAAGAAAAGGCTGGATAAATTTGTGATCACTAACCTTAAATGTGCCTTCATTATTACATCCTACAAGTCTCTTCTAATCAACTTTCTACTCTAGAAAAAAATCCTTTTCAAAATGTATTCATTTTTTTCAAACCTCAAAAGATGTTCGCAAGGATGTCAACATCTATAAGGGAACTTTTATACGCAGTTGGTAGGAATGTAAATTAGTAGAGCCTCTATGGAAAACAGTATGGAAATTCCTGAAAGAGCTAAAAATAGGACTACCATTAGATCCAGAAGTCCTGCCACTGGGTATCTACCTAAAGGAAAAAAAATCGATATATCAAAAAGATAATTGTACTGGTATATTTATCACAGCACTATTCACAATAGCAAAGATATGGAATCAACCCAAGAGTGCAACAACAGATGATTGGATAAAGAAAATATGGTATGCACACAATGGAATGCTACTCAGCTATTTCGAAGAATAAAAGCATGTCTTTTGCAGCAACATAGATAGATGTGGAGGCCATTACCTTAAATGAAACAAGCCAGACACAAAAAAGACAAATGTTGCATATTCTCACTCATAATGTTCAAACAGTGTACATATGGATGTAGAGAGTGAAATGATCAACAATGGAGACTTGGAAGGGTGAGGGCACGGGAGGTGGTGGATAATGAGAAATTACTTAATTAGAATAGTGTACATCACTGAGGTGATGGATACCCTAAAAGCCCTGACTGAACTACTATGCGATCTATGCATGGAACAAAATTGCACTTTGATTCTATAAATTTATATAAAATTTTGTAAGCCTTATACATCTGTGTGTATATACTCTCATCCTTTTCTTGCTTCCTTTTATTAAAATAGAGAATCTGTCCATCTTTAAAAATGTCCAACTTTTATCTCTACATTGGATCCCATCCTTCCCAGCTTTGAACTTTGGCTCTTTCTCTAACTCTCCCCTTCTTTCCATATACACACTTGTCACAAGCACTGACACTCACTGTTTCCATTCCCTCACCTCACATCCACTCCGCAACTCACTTCAATTTGGCTTCCGCCTCCATTAGATCCATAAAGCAGCTCTCAGAAATCACCTTCAGCTTCCCTATTGTTAAATCTTGTTGAAACAGTTGATCAAATCCTCTTCCTTGAAACACTCTCTTCGGCCTAATTACTACATCCCAACCTTCTAGTTTACCTTATACCTCCTGGTCTCTCCCTCTCATTTTCTCGAGCACATCCATCATCCACTACCTTGACATCAATTTAAAGGTTCAGTCCTACATTTTCTTTGCTTTTCTTCTTTCCTCTCTGATATTTTGTTTCCCCTTCCTTCCTCTTCTTTTATCTTGTCTATGTCATTAGATAATTACCGTCTCTGTTACTAAATGATCACTGAACTATCTCTCACTTAGACCTCTCCAGAAGTCTACTATATATACCCGGGTTTCCCAGAGATATTCAAAATTCACGAAGTCCAAAATTTAAAAACCTGATCTTTTGCCAGCATCTCAGTGAATGGTGTAAATATTTGTCAGTTTCAAAAGCCAGTGACCAGAAACCATCTTGAACATTTATTCCACCCACTGCAAATGGCACAAAATACATGATGAAACCACCAAGACCTGTCATTTTCTCTTTTAATTAGCCCTGGAATCCATCCACTTCTCTATATCCACCCTCACTATCCAAGTACTAGTACCCCTTAAGTGAAAAAGTAGAAATTGCCTTCTACTGCAGTCTAGATTTCTTTATAAACCATTCTGTACATTGAAATCAAAGAAATGTTTCTAAATATACATCTTATTAGTCATCTGATTAAAATAGTTCAATGGCTTCTCATTGCTAATAGAATAAAAAGAAAATTTTTTACTTAAACTTTATGAGACCATAAGTTCATGAGGGAAGAAACCATGTGTAGTTTTCTTTTATCATCACTATATATACAGGGTATAGATAGATTGCTTAATAGGTACTCATAGTTAACTGACTACATTGCAGAAGGAAGGAAGGGAAGGAAGGAGCAAGGGAGAGAGGGAAAGAAGGGAGAAAGGAAGGAGAGAGGGACGGAGAGTAGAAGGGAGGGTGGGAGAGAGGGTAGGAGGGAGGGCGGGAGAGAGGGAGGGAAGGAAGGAAGGAAGGAAGGCAATGCTATATATTATCTATCTCCTTCCTCCTATTCCAGTTCTAACACCCCACTCCCTTGCTCCCTGAGCTTTAGCCACACCGTCCTTCTTCCGGATCTTCAAACGTTACATGTGCTTTCTGATCCCACTTCTCTTAGAAGGCTGTGCATCTTATGCTTCTACACAACATGTACTTTCCACTCATCCTTTACATCTCAACTGAAATACTCTCTTCTCTGAGAGGTTTGTTCTAACACCCTCCACACAAGATCAAATCCTCCTATTTTGTGTTTTCACAGTATTTTGAACCATCCTCACCGCTGGTAGTTATATATTTGTACGATAAGTTGTTTACATACTCCTCCTTCTCTTGCCCAATCACACATTTCATGCCATGAAAACAGCATCAATTAGCACAGTGCTTGACATGAAATGGCTGAAAATATCTGTAGAATGAGTTACCTATTAGGCTTATGAGCAGAATAATAGGAAAGCACAAAGGAAAATTTCCTAACTCAACCCTAGAGGAAAACAGAAGCTTTCCTAAAGTTGCTAAGAACTTAGTTGAATCTTGTTTCTATAGATGTGGAGGATTTGCATGCATTAAATCTATGTAGTGTACCACAGGTATAAAAAATGGATTATGTGAAGGCATAGTGATGAGTCTGAGAATAACTTTGGAAGGAAATTCTAGGCAATATATAATCTGACTGGAGCCAAAAGGATGAGAAGTTGAAAGAAAGAGCCAAAAATGGAGTTGTTTAAAGAAAAAGGCAGATCTTAAGTACGTTTTCTATGCTAAAGATTTTAGAACTAGTCATATGGATAGAGAGAAATGGAAAAAATATTTCCATTAGAAGAGAGACATGCCCAGATTTAAAGTACATACAGAAAGATCACTCTGGACACATTATTATGCATGAACTTGGGTAAGGCAAGAGAGCAGAAATAGAAAGAATGACGGCTGCAATAGCCCAGGAGAGAAGCGACTCGCATCTGAATAAAGGCTGATGCACTGAGGATGGGAAAAAGGGGCATCTTCAAGTCACATAGACAGAACTGATTGACAGATTTGTTGTAAAGAAGAAAATAGATGATAGCCCAGAGTGACGCCCTATTTTCTGGCTTGAGTCAGTAAGTTGCATCACTGAGATGTAAAATACAGGTAAACATGTAAGATTAATGTGTACTGGAATATGTCAAGGCTGAGGTGTTTATGATTGCTATGCATAATTTGGTTTTGGCTGTTTCAAACTGAAGAGTTTGAGAAAATTAGAAGGATTGTGGTTTAGGACATAAATTCAGAAATGATTAGAACATAGCACAAGGCTAAGATTGGAACCCTAGAAAATAGCAACATCGAAGGGGTAGAAAAAGAAAAAGGAGGCATAAATGGAAGGGCTAGAAAGGTATCAAGAAAATCTTAAGCATAAGATGCCCTAGAAAAAAATTAAGGGGAAAATTTTAAGAAGAGTTTGACCAACTTGTTAGTTAAGTAGAGGTTCAATAACATAAGAAGAGTGAATACTCATTAAACATTAGAATAAGGGTGTGCCATTGATAACCTGGCAAAGAGAATCGTTTGACTGGTAGAAACAGACCAGAATGAAGAAAGTTGGAGAGCTAGTAAGTGAGGAAGTATAGATAGGGAAAGTTGACTGTATAGCTAAAGAAGTCCATTTCAAGCTTATAAGAGAAGAAAAAGCAAGGCAGAAATAAAAGCTACTGCAACATGTTTATATGTTCAGGGAAAGTTTAAAGATCCAGAAGGAAAGTAAGATAATTGAGGTAACCCCTTCAGTGAGGAAGCTTCTACCATGATTAAATTTTCTCTGTTAACCTTAGCACATTGTTTTTGCACCTCTCTATCTCCCTCCACTCTGTCGTGAAATATCTGAGGACAGATAAAGGGTACTTTTCCATTTATACATACTACATTCTCTAACACCCCATAGATTCTTAATAAAAGTCCATTGAAAAATATTTTGGCATTACTGGCCTTGGTGTTTTACATAGATGGGAAATTTTAAGGAGAAAGAGTAAGAAAGGAGAATTAACCAGAGTTTCAGTGGTCAGAGGGGTGCTGAGGTGGGGAAAAGGAAGTTCTGATCAATATTGTAAAAGGTAGCCACAGAGGAGTTGTGTGGTGGACTAGAGGGAAGCAGGGCATGGCATGGTGGAGCTCAGGGATCTATTTATGCCACTGCTCACAGGTGCCTCCCCAAAAGCCACCCGCTTGGTTGATGAAAAAGCCCTGTGCTAGTTTTCGGGCTTAATAGGTCTTCTCCTTTTCCGAG